TACTGGTGGAACGAGGAAATTAGCACCCTCCGTGCTTAGTTGTCTTCTGGCCAGAAGGCGCGTTCAGAGAGCAAGAACTGAAGCATACAAGGAGGAGCGCAGTGTGGTGTTCCGAGCGGCCAGGGCTGCATTAAAAAGAAAGATATAGACGAGCAAGTCAAACAGTTTCAAGGAGCTGTCCCGAGACGCATACCTAGTCGCGATGGCGAAGATCAGAGATCCAACGATGCCGGTTGAAATATGCCAAAAGCGGTTGAAGGTGAAGAAAGCTCCCAGCCCGGATAGAATTCCTAGCTGGCGTTGAAGGCGGCGATCCAGGCGTCCCCGGACATGTTCAGGATGGTGCTGCAGAAATGCTGGACGATGGTCATTTCCCTGACAGGTGGAAGATATAGTTGCTGCTGAAACCAGGAAAACCGCCGGGGGATCCAGCATCGTACAGGCCTATATGCCTCGGAAAACTCTTGGAGAGGATCATTCTGAAATGCACGGAGATTGGGCACGGCTTGTCGGAGAGGCAGTTCGGATTCCGGAAAAGGAGATCAACGGTGGATGCAATTCGGACAGTAGTCGAAAGAGCCAAGAAGGCGTCCAAACAGAAACGGATAAGAGATCGATACTGCGCCGTGATAACAATCGACCGAAGCGGCCCAAGCGCTGCATATAATGCAGGATCCTGCGAAGTTATTTTCAGAACCGGGTTCTGGTCTACGAAACTGACATGGGACAGAGATCGATTAGGATCACAGCGGGAGTTCCACAAGGCTCCATCCTCCATGTATACGGCCTCGGTAAGCGTCCCATACAGGTAGGCCGTCTTAACATCGACGTGTTTCACTAGAAGTTGACGACGGGTGGCAATGGTTAGCAAAGAACGAAATGTTACCTGTTTTGCCACTGGAGCGAACACCTGGTCGTAGTCAGTGCCGTACTTCAGATTAAAACCTTGTGCGACCAGTCTCGCCTTGTAGCTTATCACGTTTCCATGCTCGTCCAGTTTCCGCTTGTACAGCCATTTGCAGCCAACCGCCTTTCGTCCATCTGGAAGGGCCTCAACTGTCCATGTCGAGTTATCTTGAAGGGACTGGATCTCTTCTTCCATCGCAGCTATCCACGATTCACTCTCTTGTCCGCTTACTGCTTCTTCATACGTCCTCGGTTCAGTAGCTGCTGCCATTTTGTTTGCTTCATGGTACTGCTGTGGGGCAACACTTTTGTTGGACCGCTCTGATCTTCGTACGATGGTTTCATCCAAATCTTCATGAAATGACTCGTCGCAAGAATCGAAGTCCGTGTCGGTTACGTCCGACCTTCCATCTGTTGAATTTTCTCGTACGACTCCTCCTCCAGATTAGGAACATCGGTACCGGGTTGAACCAACTCCTCCTCAAAGAAACGAACGTCTCGACTGATGATCAGCTTGTTAGTGGCCATATCAATGAATCTGTAGGCCTTGTGGTTACTGGAATAGCCGACGAACGTCACTTCCTTCGACTTATCCTGGAGTTTGTTTCGGCACATAGACAAATCTCTACACCAAAACACTTTCAGATGTGAAACGTTCGGTTTACGTCCCCACCAAAGCTCGTATGGTGTGATCTCCACAGCGCGAGAAGGTAGGTGGTTCTGTAGGTACACGGCCGTAGCGGTTGCTTCAGCCCAAAACCGTGCAGACATCCTGGCGTCCATTAGCATGCACCGAAACATTTCAATGATGTTTCGATTTCGTCTCTCCGCCACTCCGTTCTGCTGTGGCGAATATCCGGCAGTAAACTCGGGGTGGATTCCATGCTTGTGGTAGAACTCCAGCAGTACTTCGCTCGAATACTCCCCTCCCCGATCAGACCTGACGCGCTTGGGGTACTTTCCAAACTGCGTGTGGACATAATTACAGTATTCCACTATGCGTTCTGCGACCTTGGATTTCGAGGGTGTCTCCAGTGGTCCATACACGTCCGAGTGGATGAGGTCTAAAGGTGCGAAGGTCTTTGGGAAGGGAGTTCGAGCTTGCTTTCCTTTCACACAGCATTTGCAACCTTCACGTATTCCGCAATCTGCAACTTTCATACCGGTAACAAGCTTCTTCCAGAACATCCAACGCATAAGCTTCCCGGTGTCCAAACCGTCGGTGCCAGGTGTGCTGGCAATCTCGCTTGTGAGATGCAGTTACCCTCGCGGCGACTGCTTGTTCTTGCTTATTCAGCCGGTATAATCCTCTGCACTTCGTCGCAGATGCAATTTCCTTCCCATGGACGATGATTTTGCACTTCACGTCATCGAATTCAATCTTCGCCTTTTGAGTGGTCGTAGTAAGCACTGACAAAAGACTTGCTGACAGCTTTGGCACAAACAAAACGAGGTTGAGACGAATTTTATTCGTGCTTCCAGAACCGTCCACACATTCGATCACACCAGTTCCAGTACCAGCGACCGCTACTACACGCTAGTCAGCCAACTCCACTTCGCCTGTAGCCGGTTCTAACTCCTTGAAGAAATCCCTGTTGGAAGTCATGTGCGAACTTGCGCCGGAATTGATGATCCAGTCGTTCGCCGTGTCGCCTGTTCCAATGGTCAGCGCGTATATGTTGCTGTAGCCACTGTTCGCATTCTGTTTCTTCGATTCGAATTGCTCTCGAGCTTGCTCTCTCTGTAGCTGCTTGCAGTCCCGTTGTTTGTGGCCAGGCTTCTTGCAGAAATGACACACAATCGGCTTTCGTCCCGCCGCTTTCAATGCCGTCCTTGCGGTTGCGTTACGATTTTGCTTGCTTACCACGTCCAGTAGCTTCTCCCGGATCAGGTTCAGCGTCAAGGCATCATCCGTACGTGTTTCGAGGGCAGTCGTCAATGCGTTGAGTGATTTCGGCAATCCTCGCAAAATAAAGGCCACCATGGTATCCTCTCCCAGGTTCTTTCCTGCGCTGCACAGCTCCGTGTACAGGTCTTCCATCTTCGTGAGGTAATCGTCCATATCCTCTCCTATCGTGTACCGGGTTTCGCACATCCGCCGCCCACGCTTACTTCGCCGCTCGAATCACCCCAAACTGATTTTCCTCCAGCAGTAGCAGAATCGTTGCACGGGCTTTTTCATCGCCTTCCACCCACACCGCTGAGGCACACGCCGCCGCTTGACCTTCTCCAGCTGCCGGTGGGTTGTTCTTGATGTAGGTCCACGAACCTTCCCGGATCAGCAGCGCTTCGGTGCGTAGCTTCCATGCTTCATAATTTGTGTTGTTCAGTTTCGTAGAATTCTTCAGATCCATCCTATCGCAGGTTTGGCTTCGGTCTTGAATCTTCTCCAGGAAAAAAACTTACACGTTGCTAAGGGCCCATAACCTATTAGCAGAGCGTGAAAAAAAAACAACTGATCGCTAAGGATTGGAACAGTGGAATAAATAATTTTTTATTAATCGTTCTATAATAGCCTGTGATAGGTTTAGGTGGTCAGCTGGTTGCTGTGATTGTTCGTTATCTCAACAGTTCCTGTCTGATCATTGCTACTTCAGGAAGTATCTGCAACGGTTCGGACACAAAACGTCACCCTTCAGTCCGGAGCGTGGGAATGTGGAAGAATCACCAGAGCACGTGGTCTTCGAATGTCCTAGATATGATGCTTTGCGAGAGGGGATGCTCGCCCGTAGCGCGGAGAATGGCGTCCAAGAAATGCGTCGAGAGGAGGGCACCTGCAATACCGTCAGCAGAGCAGCAACGCAGATCATGTTTGCGCTGCAGCGAAAATGCCGAGAAGCCCAGCTAGAAAGAAGTAATGTGCTCACACAGTCGCGAAGTGAAATACGGAACCGGGAGAACTTCCACCACCGGGGAACTCTCCGTCGGAGTAGGTCGAATTCACCATCAGGGGTTAGTTGAGTAGAACGCGACTACGCTGGGAGTTAAATGGCTCACAAACTGGAAAGACGATCAGCGAACTATAAGTACCAGTTAGCTGAGGTAAAGTGAGGTGCGTAATGGACAACTGCCTCCGAAGTAATACGACAAGTGGTTCCGGAGTCGATTGATTTATGACCTTGGCCCTGCGGGCTTCCTAAGCTTGACATGGTTCTTTATATAATGGGTCCAACTATTATTCATTTTTAGGTCCAACCATGATTGAAATTCATTGCTGAATACATCCTATTTTGAGAAAATTATTCTTTCTTCATTATTAATACAAACTAGGTAGGTACAAACTAGTCTAGGTAGGGCATTATGAGGAGCATTTCAAAGAATTAATGGGAATTCTAAGCAGAGCTAACAAGGAATTTTTATAGTAACTCCATGGGCATATCAGTAGAATACTGGAAGTGAATGCTGAGGAGAACTCCTAGTGATTTTTTCAGGAGTATTTTTCGGGTAATTGCTAGGTAATCACTGCAAGAAATAATAATAATATGGAGCAGTTTCACGCTAAATGACGAATCGAAAAACATCAACCTTCTCCAATTTGCATGGAACTTTGCATAATTGTTTGTTTTGAGCAATGATTCTTATTTTTGCTAAAATTCGGCCATTTTGGATGTTGAAAAATTTTCAAACTGGCGTCTTTGAAATTTTTCTAAAAATTGTGGCATGGAAACGGCACTTCTGATCGAAATGGCGTCGAAGCCAAAGTTGTTGAAAAACACAATGGTTGTCTGGGAAAAATGTACAAATAGTTTTTAGTAAGTCGTTATTTGGCGTGGAACTGCTGTCTTCATAAATTGAAAAATCAGCTGATCATAATCGTCTCGCAAATTGGTTTACTCCCACCGGAGTGTTAGTCCCTTCAGTTTCAACTTGCTTTTACACATCATAATCCAACACCTATTAAGAACCCAATTCAACCCAAAAATTACCACACCGCCAATGAGATCAACTATTTAGTCGGATTTCACTCAAAATAATAAAAAAATTGAGTTACTCAACCAAGGTGTAACCCCGACTCAATTTCGAGTTGATCTCATTGCCACGTACAAAACTAATAAACACATAACCACTTGCCCCCCGCTTCTCCATCCACTCACCTGATGTTTCTTCAGCTCCGTCACGCTGATCTCCCAAACCTCGGCCAGCTGTTCGATCCGATCCATCCACGCGATGTGATCCGTGTAGAACACGTTCTCCATGTCCTCCCGAATCAAGTCCATCGTCGCCGTAATGGTCTTGCAGAGAAACTCGAACCGGACCCTCTTCAGCAGCAGATCCGCCTTCGGCAAGCTGTACGCCAACTGCCGGTTGATCTCCGCAAAGAACGACTGATTCGCCATTCCATCGAAAAACTGCTGGATGGGTTTCTGATACTTGACGTTGAAAGAAGTCAAAACGAGCAGCACGGTGGTCAATTCGTGGTGGAGTTTGAGCAGTGCCATATTGGCCGAGTTCTGTTGGATCGCTAGGGATGTAAGGGGGATGGGTCCGTCCTGGAGCAGCTCCTCGAATCGCAACTCCAGTTTGTCATGGTCGATCGAGTTGGAAAATTGATCGAAGAATTCTAGGCAACTTTCCAAGAACTGTGGAACCACGGCGTCCGATATTCCTATGTCCTGCAGGCAGAGCTTTTCCTTGGGTAGTCGACCGACCTTGTTGACAAGTTTCTTGGTAGCTTCAAGGGGGATTTTCAGGTGGGCATTCCAAATCATGCAACACAGACCGTGTTTCATGGAATACTGTAGACGAGGGATTGCCTTGAGACATGCAAGACCCGCGGAAAGGCAATCAATGTTAGGCATGTTTTTGCTCCAATCACAGATATACTCCCAAGCTAGATGGCTAAGCAGAGTTCCACTATCCAAGCTGAAGGGAAAGTGTCGTCGCAGGATGTTCAGGTTGTAGAGTACCGGATCCAGTTCGGAATCGCTGCTACCGCCGTATTCGCTTGTCTCAATAAGGTTCTGTTTGAGCAGCTCTAGACGCTTTCGCTCCTTCTTTACAGTTGCTGCAGGTTCTTGAATACCAGCTTGTTCGTTCTCAACGGCTTCCTCCGGTACTTCGATGACCAACTTTTCTGGATCTATTCCACTGGCGCCAATCCACTTGGCGACGATTTCGGCGACGATTCCCTGACCGCCCTTCAAGATCTCCTTTAGACTGACGTCCGGTTTTTGATACTTCAAACAAGGGTACTTTGGATGCCGGCATTTGAGGTTTTCGGCTAGTATTGCCCCAAGAACGGATACGTCGTCGAGTTTCCCGATGAGCAGTGTCCACTGGCAGGCTTCCTGTGAAACTTCTTCAAACTGGTAGTCATCAGAGTCACTGTTTTCTTCGTACTTTAGGGCTTCATTTCGACACATAATAGCCGCCAGCAGGCCCCGAAGTGCGCAAGGTGACTCCAGTAGATACTCCCGAGCATTCTGCCACCACAAACAGATGGTATTGTTCTCGAATCGTATCCGGTTTTCTACGAGAGAACAAATCCTTCGAAGGACTTTGTTGAACTTGTTCAAGTCGTCGGCTAGCTCGGCTATGTCTCGGTAACTGAAGGGAAGCCGCAGCCAGTACGCTAAGAATAACTTCAGCAAGTCATCGTAGATTAGTCCGGAGCTGCCAGCAGCCGTCACGAACCCTGCCAAGCGGGACCCATTGCTGTGGTAGATATTCTCGAATATGATCTTGCCCAGCGAACTGAACAAATGAGCGGAATCGTCCTTGAGCAGAATCAGATCCTCGTTAGACACATTGAAGTACGATATGTATTCTTGGAAAGTATTGCTTTTGACAGTTGAATCCTCAAAAGTTACGTGAGTCGTCGAGCCACCCTCGGAGGAACTGTTCATCGTCAGCAGCTCTATCAGCTTACCGATCGAGACCAGTTCCATCTCGGATAGTTTTACATTTTTGTCCAAATCTGTCTTGGGAGCAATGACCTCGGTCGTAGTCTCTTCGGTTTGTTGTTCCACTGAATCCGTCGGAACATCTACGTTCTCATCTACGGGGCACTTGTTTTCATCACTAGACGTTTCCGTTTCACTCACTAGTTCTTCAGCGTTCACTTTACCCGTCAGAAACAAATAGAACATCGTTAGTTTTCGGTAGTTCTCACATATAACTCGTAAATGACTCCGTCTACCATCATTTTCTATCTCCTGTGATTCTTCTACCTCACCGAAAGTTCCAAACACTTCCACTGCACTACGAAATAGTATCGGTTTAATCTTCTTGTGCTTTGCTAGCATCTCGACGCACTGCTGCTTGATTTCATCCGTTTCGAAGCTCTTGCACATTTCAAACATCTCTTCTAGGTCTTCTGCGTCACTGCCGTCGCCTGCTTTCAGACAAATCTTCAGTCTCTTCAGTAAATGCAGATCCTTGGCAGTCTTCGATTTGGAATCGCTGAGGGCACAGTGAAATGGAATACTGATTTCTTTCAACGAGTTGTCACTCGGATCGAAGAATGTGCAACCGTGTCCTGTGTACTTGATCTTGCTGCTACCCGAGCTGACCCCCATGAAGCTATGCGTATTGTAGATTAGTTGACCGTTTTTGGCCGCCGAGAACGCACCCACCTTTGGGCCATTCTGCAATGACCACACCTCTAGCACCGATCGTCGTGGAGCGTAGATCACCAAGAATATAGCTTTCCGTCGATCCTGCTTCGTTACAACATCCTTAGCGATCTTCTCAGCGACCTCCACAAACCCACACTGAGCATCTCGATAGCCTTTCCAAATTCTCAAGGCGATCCCTTTAACACAATCCACCAGAACTATTCGACCAAGGTTGTCCGCAACAGCAGCTAGGGTATAGTTCGGGGCCAACCAAACCGAGAAGGCAGTTCGTTGAATATCACATAACCCAAATCTGCAGATCAGCGGTTCCGAAGGCGGCAACTGCGGCTCCGGAGGAGCTTGCGGAGTTGACGATCCACCGAACCAGGATCTGTGAAAAATTACTTTCTTCAAATTCCTTCTTTAAAACACCTGAAAACCCAAGCTACTTACGGTAAAGCTGATTTGATCTTGTTGGCCACTGCTCGAGCAACATCCGCCAGCACCGGTTGGGAAAACCCCTCCTTAGCGTAGTGAAACCCTATATAGGGCTTCATCCCCGCCGCAATGATCAACGAATTCTGAGGCGGCGCATGTCGATACTTCGCAAAGAACCCACCCTCCAGACTGGCCGTGAGCAGATGATCGAACGTACAGGTCTTCTGCGGTCCCACCACTATCCCATCCTGCACGGTCATATTCTTCTCATAATTCCACTTTCGGCACGCGATCACTTCTTGAGCTTCGTTCACTCGCGGACTTCCCAACCCATATCTGCCGATTTGCTGCTTCAAGCTTCTCAACAACGGAAACATCTGCGCACCCTGCACTATCACTACACAAGACGGATGAAACACATACAGCTCTTCGTTGATGTGTTTCCCACTTTGGGCCTTGATGGCCTGAACCGGTTCCTGGTGGAACAGCTGCGAATGGATTAGCGTGCCATTTTCCCCGTAGAACAAAACCTGACCACTGTCCAGACCGACTACGATAAAGCTAAAATCCACACTACCGGCCTGGGAGTTGCCTCCCTGGCCCACGACTGGCGCGCAAAGAACACTTGTTATCAGACAGTTCGGGTCGTCGATCGCACCCTTCCAGGCGATCTTGTACACGCTCAGCTGCCGCTGCCGGTCCCATTTGGAGGTTAGGATGATCAGGATCGACCCGTGACCGAAGGCGAGGATGTCCCCCGCTGGCGACAGTGAGTGGCAAACTGCGTTGAGCCAGTTTTCCTCTGCATGTGGCGGGGGGGGGGAGAGAGAGAGAGAGAGAGAAAATTGAGATCGTTGGTTTGGTGAGGATATAAATATCATAGAGAAGGATCCTATCAGGATGGATCAGGTGCCGGAGGAAGTGACTAATCATTAAATTCAACTATAACTAGTCATGCGGCAAATACAAATGTTCAAATATGCATAGACAATTTATTTGACAACCTGCCAAATGAGAATAGTGACGGTGGCAATGTCACTGGAACAGATTCCGGCAGCCCTGAAGGAAGTGGTTAATATTTGATTTCTACAAAACTAATCATGCGGCATATCAACATTTTCAGAAATTGGCAGACAATTCATTTCATACACTGCCACAAAGTCCAACAACTGTCCTTGGAAAATTTTGGTATATCGCATGTTGAATATATGTATTATAGGGGAAATGGATGTAATGTCGGCTTAAATGCTCCTAATTTGGGCCCATACATAAATTCAGCAATCGTCTAAATTTTCAATAGCGACCAAAAATATCCATTAATACCGTCCCAAAGATAAAATTGATAGATAGCAGATTTTTAGCGATGGGCCCAATCTTAGATCCATAGGCCAACATCTGAGCTATTTCCCCTATAATATATGTTAAAGTCAGACATTGGCCATCTCCTCCGGAACTTCCAGGAACATTGGGAGGCCATTGTAACTAAGTTAAGTTAAGTTAAGTTTTTAAAGAAAAACAAGTACTTTTTATGGAAAACTAGAGATCATCTTGTTAAGTTAGAAGCGAATGATCAGTTATGTAGCTGTTGAAAGAATATTTCTCATTAGTTATTTGAAACTATTGGTAAACCTTATTTTCTGAAGTACAAATGTTGACATTTTCAACTAGTAAAACTTTTTAAATATTCGCGATAGAGAGAAAAGGTAATTTTTAGATTAAAATTGGCTGAATTGTTTCAATAGGCCTCAAGCATAACGTTTACAGGAGATTATTGTAAAATATATACAATTAACCACTTTATTCGAGCACTTAAAATGACGTTTACTACCACTCGAACTTTGAAATAAAACATTATTTTGAGATTTTTTTCTTCTAGAACCTCGAGAAAAGTAGCCAACATTTGTGCGTTTCATAAAAAAATATAAATTATTTGGTCCAGTTTTGTGAAATCGCTGGTAGACCACGCCAAAACTGCTTGACAAAGGGTCAATTGGTTGAGTTTTAATAGGGTGGCCATATTAGACACTTTCCCCTTAGCAGTTTTTTTTTCAATCTGTTGGTTTGTCGTTCGTAGTCGATTTAACATATCTGGAGTACTTTGAGATTAGGGCGTAATTGCTTTAATAAACAAACATGTCATTCGACAATTATTTCTCGTGAATTAAAGCTCAATTTCAAAAACTAACAACACAAACAGATAGAGGAATGGTTCCTCTATCATTTGGTATAATTTTTTTTTCGCGAGATTGTTATTTTATTTTTGTGAAATCGGTGATTGACGTGTTTGTTTACAAGAGCAATTACGCTTAAATCGCAAAGTTCTCCGGAATATTTTGGTTTCTTGGTTGGTTTTTGTTTAGCTGAAAAATGTTTTATACACTTGGTCACAACAACGAAAAGCATTAATTCATTCCCTGTAGTTATCCTTACGACTAAATTCATTTTGTCCTTAGATCTTCTACCTTTCGCTGATTCGTAATCATTCCCCGTCGTCTTTTGAATTTTAGTCCTAGTAAACAAATTAATATCTCAAAGTTCCTTGCACACAAACGAGTGCAATGTCCACAGGTTTATCAATAAAGAGTAATAATTATGCCCACATCAAATCGATACCACCCACGAAAGCGAAGGAACGTATCCCTTTTTCAGAAGGTGGGTGTTGATGGAAAGAACAGCGAAACCAAAACAAACCTGAACTCAGTCCGAACTGCTCCTGCACCTCGCGTAAATCGTCCACATTGGCCAGTAATTTCACTTCGCACGACATCGCGGCACACCGACCGACACAAACGACGTTGCAATTCCGACGGTTTTCACCAGCGATCACACCTCCTTCTAATCAACAAGCAGATCTTTTCGCGTTCGATTGATGATGATTGCAAATTTTTTCACTGCTGCTGCTCTGATAAACAACACACAAAGGCGAACTGTCAAAAGCGAAGTAAACGCGGAAGATGACACCAATACAAGCATGTATCGAGTGCGAGAAAACAAATGCCCAGGGACGCCGTTTGGTTGACGTGAAATAAGGGGCAAACATGAAACTGTTCTACTCCGAAAAGTTTCGGCAAAAAGGTCCCTGAAAATGAAGCAGTTTTTTGTTAAATGCGAACCAGCTTGGTCGATTTGAAGGTTACGTATACCGTACGTAACCTGAGCATACAGTCAACTTTCCGTTTTTCCAAGCTCCATTGATGATAATACGTGATTTAATCCAGATTATCATAAATCTATATAAAAGTTTAATGCCTCATTCAGTAAGCACCAAGAGAGGATAAAACTTAGAAAGCACACTGCCATTCTCTCTAGCATATCCCGACCAACCATTCGTGAAACTTCTTCAAAGTTCTTTATACAGAAATAAAGATTTATGTCAGCAATTCTTTACTTTAAATTTTCTATGATTTCGATGAACACATTTAAAAATCTTTATTGATCGATACTTACATTTAAGATTATTTCTACATCGGTCATATGATAGTAATCTATAAAGGTGCCATACTAAATTTCTTTTAATTTCGATATGTCACATGGACTTTAGTATTCTTTACAAATATTCATCAATAAATATTTAAATACTGATATCATCGTAACTTTAAACATTGACAAAGAACAACAAAGATTGCCATCGATACACATTTATAATCTCCTTGTTGTCGATTTGCAACGCTGGTTAAAGAGAGTTCGAGACACACCAGGTGACAGGTGGCAATGTTTATATTATTTATCGACATATTCGGCATATCATCGGAAGAAGCAATCTGCCGGTAAATGAACGAGAAGACCGATGGCCGCGATGCAGCAAATGTTTACTATTGTCGTTCTTCAAGTTTACGTCTATATATTTAATAACCCGTGATAGCATGCGTGGTGGGATTCTCGGCATTTGGAACCCAATGAGGGAAATTTACACCTTTTTTACCTCTATTACACCTACATGGCTGACTGGTTGATGGTTATGACAAATAAATATTGAATTCATGTATGAAAAGATTTACAGAAATTTCAATACACCACATACTAGAATGTGTTTGCCTGTCGTTGATAAGCTCATCAACAGCAGCCGTGGATCCGAGGATTAGCAACGAACAACGAAATCAGTACACTCCAGATGGCATGGGATCGAAACTAGAAATCATGCAGATAAAAAATCGCAAATAAAATCAGCAGTTGTGTATCGATATTTTGATCTGGCAACACAATCGATATTTTAACATTGGTAACGATTGGTAGCAATATTTTGAGAAAGATCTTTATAAACGATTCACGATTAGACTTTTAGCATCTTTACAATTATTCATGAAATGGTGACGATCGCTATCGATTTTTCTTATGAATGGCTTTGAAGATCGATGTATAGAAAATTAAAGAAAATTAACGAAATGGTTGGTCGGGATTGCTCAACAGGCATGGGAAATCATTTACACACTCATTTTTTATCGCTGGAAACCAGCAATATTTTGCTGGATTTTTCCTAGCTGAAAGATCAGCAATCCATTCTGCAAAATATTTTTGCTGAACGACCAGCAATTTAGTCCAAATTGACAGCACTTTACTGATTATCCAGAAAAATGGAAAATCAATCATTTGCTGGAAGAGCAGCAAATCTCGATTGTTGTTGTTGTTTTTTTTTTTTTTTTTTTTAAGAAAGAGGCATCTCATTGTTGGAATAAATATTTGATTACATTTCCATGTATGTAGTTAGATATAGTAGCTTAAATGTGACTGCACTTCTTAAAAAATCATGTCTTGAAGAAGCTATGATGGGCCATCCTGGGTGAGTTATTGTTGTTGTTGTTGTTTCTTTTTTAAGGAGACTCCTGGATAAGTTAACGAATGAAAAAAAAAAACTGTAAATTTCACAGAAAAACGACAGTTTTTCAACTTAATTCAGGTTGCTAAGGTACTTTAATGTACTTACTTCATAGCAAAAGCTTTTTTTTATATAATTTCGATGATATTTTGTTAGTCGAACACTTCTTGAACATAATATAATCATAAACCGTGAAGGAGAGAATGATGAATTTTGGCCTGATTTTGACGTTTAATACAGTTTACTCAACAATCAATACGAAACTAACGATTTTAAATTGGCTCACCACTTTAGTAGTCTATTGGTCCCAAGCAAACGATTAACGTACCCTATTCTAGTTGAAATTCTATTACTACACTATGTTTGTTTTGATTCGCTATGAAAGTTTGACAGATAACATCAGGGGTGTGTGGATTCATGCAGAACATGCAGGGGTGAGTGAAATAGCTTGGGACTGCTTGGGACCGTTGTTCTGGTACTGAGTGAGCCAAAAATAATAATGATTTTCTTCGGTACCCAGTGGTCTTAGAGTTACCTCTATGGTTTACTCACAGAGAACAGACATCCAAGCGTAAACAATTTTTTCGAAAAATAATGTGTAAAAATTCAAAGTTAAATACGTTAGAATCACTAGCGCCGCCATACGGAATGTTGCGACTCGAGTTGTCACTTTGTGCGATTAATGAGTAAACTGAACTAAAATTTTGGTTGACCTTGTTGATCGTGTATTCAAATGAGCTGTCAAATCAGTTCGAAACAAACAAGACAAAACAACGGAAATCAATCGAGTTGTGTGGTCAATGTGGTAAGATTTGCTTACAACACTGCTCCGAAAAGGCTCCGGAGGAAAGTGGTCGAAACATAACTTTTTCGTTGCAAGCGCTAAGACCAACAATCAATACGAAACTAACGATTTTAAATTGGCTCACCACTTTAGTAGCCTATAAGAGATGAACTAGCCTCAGGCTAAAAATCTCTATAATAAAGAAAAAAAAAAAAAAAAAAAATTAGTAGCCTATTGGTCCCAAGCAAACGATTAACGTACCCTATTCTAGTTGAAATTCTATTACTACACTATGTTTGTTTTGATTCGCTATGAAAGTTTGACAGATAACATCAGGGGTGTGTGGATTCATGCAGAACATGCAGGGGTGAGTGAAATAGCTTGGGACTGCTTGGGACCGTTGTTCTGGTACTGAGTGAGCCAAAAATAATAATGATTTTCTTCGGGACCCAGTGGTCTTAGAGTTACCTCTATGCTAAGACTTCATGTGAGAAGAAAATCTCCTGTAGTTCGCTCAATTCAGCATTCTTAGGAAAATTGTGAAAAGATTTTCGCTTGGTAACACCATAGAGGTAACTCTAAGACCACTGGGTCCCGAAGAAAATCATTATTATTTTTGGCTAACTCAGTACCAGAACAACGGTCCCAAGCAGTCCCAAGCTATTTCACTCACCCCTGCATGTTCTGCATGAATCCACACACCCCTGATGTTATCTGTCAAACTTTCATAGCGAATCAAAACAAACATAGTGTAGTAATAGAATTTCAACTAGAATAGGGTACGTTAATCGTTTGCTTGGGACCAATAGGCTACTAAAGTGGTGAGCCAATTTAAAATCGTTAGTTTCGTATTGATTGTTGGTTATAACAACAATCAATATGAAACTAACGATTTTAAATTGGCTCACTACTTGACTAGCCTATTGGTCCCAAGCAAATCGACTAACGTACCCCATTCTAGTCGAAATTCTAGTACTACACTATGTTTGTTTTGAATCGCTATGAAATTTTGACAGATAAAATGAGGGGTTATTGGATTTATCTATGTTTCGAGGGGTGAATCGACTAGCTTGGGACCGAAGATAGTACCAGAGCTGAGCCAAAAAGTTGAGCACGTTTATTCGGGACCTTCTGGTCTTAGAGTTAAACCAACAATCAATACGAAACTAACGATTTTAAATTGGCTCACTACTTGACTAGCCTATTGGTCCCAAGCAAATCGATTAACGTACCCCATTCTAGTATACATTCCAGTACTACACAATGTTTGTTTTGATTCGCAATGAAAGTTTGACAGATAAAATGAGGGGTTAGTTGATTTTCTTATGTTTCGAGGGGTGAATCAATTAGCTTGGGACCGAAAAGAGTACCAGAGCTGAGCCAAAAAGTTGAGCACGTTTCTTCGGGACATTCTAGTCTTATGGTGGTAAGCTCCAACCGGTATTATCCTCGGATTAAATCCCGATCAAGAATGTCCGGCTGGTTTGATGTCGACATCAGAGTTAATCAACATAATTCTGAGCAAACATTTTTCAGATCATACAAACAGGGACGGTATTAAAAGTTAATCCGAGTTGGAGCTTACCGCCATTAGAGTTACCTCTATGGTTAAACCAACAATCAATACGAAACTAACGATTTTAAATTGGCTCACCACTTTAGTAGCCTATTGGTCCCAAGCAAACGATTAACGTACCCTATTCTAGTCGAAATTCTAGTACTACGCAATGTTTGTTTTGATTCGCCATAAAAGTTTGACAGATAAAATGAGGGGTTATTGGTTTTTCCTATGTTTCGAGGGGTGATTCGACAAGCTTGGGACCGAAGATAGTACCAGAGGTGAGCCAAAAAGTTGAGCACGTTTCTTCGGAACCTACTTGTCAAATGCTGGCCAGACTGGAGAGTTATAACATGTTATAACCACAGACAAACAGACGTAACTCTTAGAAAAACATGTTCTTGAAAACATAGTATCTCAAAACATATAAGCTCAGTAACGACATCTCTCTGGCTTCTCGCGGAAAACAAGCTTGCTCGCTAACTCGTAAACAATATTGCATAGAAGTTCTATAGAATATATAGAAACGTCAAAGTGATCCGATACCAGCGCTGCGGCGAGTAGTTCGCGGAACTGATAATATTCAAATCAACCGTTAAATGCATGAACGAAGATACACAATGAAGAGTTACGTCTGTTTGTCTGTGTTATAACGGTTGTCAAATAATTGCAACACAGAAACCACCATCAAGATAGCGCTATAACATGTTATAACCACAAACG